TAGGTACCCTGTGTTAAGATTACCCTGGTAGTTGTACCTCATGGGGCTTTCATAGCCATATGCATATTGGCTCACGTCACGTGTGTGAGTGAAGTTATTGAGGGGATCAAGTGCCGACCTGTTCTCATTAAGTTGATGAGGTTTAACATAGTGCGAGAGTTTGGACGAGGATTTTCGTTAATATGGTGCCTATATGAGTCCCGTTTAGTGCCCCATATATCCTGAGGATCCATTCTACGTTGCATTCCCAAGTTATGTGCGTTGTTAGGCATGTTACTTCTAGTTCGGGAAGGGGTATTCCTTCTCACATGCTGCGTGACGTCTTTGGGAAGCGTTGGAATGTTTGGGCTGCATTCCGGAGACCGAATGACACTCGTAGAAATCCAAGAAGTCCGAAAGGCGTAATGATAGCCGTTTTCGGAATGTCTTCTGTTGGCATCGGGATTTGGTTATACGTTTTAACCAGGTCGATTTTAGAGAACATAGCCGCGCCGGATAATGTTGCCGTCAAGTCGTGTATATGAAGCAACGGGCAGCAATCAGGGGTTGTTTTGGCATTCGCTCGCCGGTAATCACCAGTGGGTCGCCAATCATTGCTACCCTTTTTCGGTACCATATGAAGTGGGGATGCCCATGGGCTATTCGAAGGTCGAATGATGCCAAGGGTGAGCATATGGTCACACTCATTCCTAGTGATTCTCATTTTGTCAGGAGCCAGTCATCGTGCTCTAGATGCCACGGGTTGTCCAGTGGTAATGATGTGGTGCATAACACTGCTGATTATGCACGGTAGGTCGTTAGACGGGCAATTAAGTTCCGGATACTTGTCAACAGTAGGTTGAAAAGTTGGATCAAGTATTGCCTTTATCTTAACGAGTGACAACTGGGGCCTGTGTAGGTCTTTGATAGACAGACTAGTAGTATTATCAATCAGTCGTTTTCGGTGGACGTCTACGAGTAAATCATGATGATTGAGTAGGTCCGTGCCAGTGATGGGCATTGTGACGTCAGCGAGAAGGAAAATCCACCGAATAGGTTTGCGTAAACCTACGTTCAGATAGACGTATTTCCTACCAAAGGTTGCGATTGGTTTTCCATTTGCAGCCTGTAAGTTGGAGGTAGGTTCCTTCGGTCGATCTGCTGCAGTAGCAGGAAAGACGCTGACTTCGGTGCCTGTATCGACTAAGTATCGAGTCTGGCTGATCCCATCATGGATGTCAAGTAGGCGGCCGGTGCCACCGGTGACGGTTCCCGCTGACGCGTGCCGGTGGGATAGTTACCCACAGACTTTGAGATGTTTCCAAAGTTACAGGGCTTACGGCAACACTTCGCTTCTTGGCCATAGGTGTTGTGGTACCAGCACCAGTCATGGTTTTTCAGAGAACGTGGCTTGGACTTAGATCGACCACGTGAGTTTCGGCGTTGAGGGGATTTCCGACGACCGTCGAAGTTAGAAGGCATCTTTGACCTAAACATCTGCTGGATTAAGTTCCACAATTCTTAGTTGAAATATGTCCGGGCACAAACAATTTTGACCAGCAATTACATTAATTTTGGAACCCACTCAATTATTTAACACAACAATGTGTATAATCGATACACCAAATGTTTCGGATTCTGCCTTGACGAGCTACTCTTGAAGAACTGTAGGACCTACAGCAGTACGCCTACATTTTTCTCAGGTTGATGATACAAGTAGAAGATGTCCGGACACAAACAAAAACCAACAGATAGATGAGAGATGATACCAATTCAGCATATACCACATGAACATATGTACAATATAACACCCCAAGTACGATGGACTGAGCTTCGACGTACTACCCTTGAAGAATTGTGGGACTTACAGCAGTACGCCTACAACCCTTCTCAGGTTGACTCCTTAGGTTGGAAAATCGTCAAGTGGTTCATCCTCCGACTCTCGTATCTCAGCACCTCCCAGTAGACACAGTTTTCTAATATGTCGCATTAACATGCCACAACTTGTTCTCACCTCAACCGTCCTCACCAACCCATCACCACTACAGAGTAGCCTTTCTATCACTCCCAAAGGTGCCATCTGCCTGTGGCACATTTATCTGCTACTAGGACTATATCACCAACCTTTAAGTCTGTGCACAACGTTTTACACTCGTCTCCGGTTTGCAGTGTTAAAACATACTCCTTTAACCATCTTTTCCAAAATATATCTTTCATGTGCCTGGCTTGTTTCCATCTTTTAATCGTAGGTGTTCGTTCCGCTCTCGAGTCCTCTATGCCAGGGTTGCCTCTCAATAACAATAATTTATTTGGGGTTAACACATCAAAATGCTTGACGTCGTCCCTCACAGGTGATAACGGCCGGTCATTTAGTATTCGTTCAGCTTCACAAAAAATGTCCCCAACGTTTCGGCATTCAAACCCCGGATTTTAATTATGGAGCTCAAAATACGCTCGATAATTCCTATAAGCCTTTCCTACAGCCCACCTCTATGGCTAGTATATGGTGGGTTGATGTGCTACTCGATGTTTCTTTTCAGTAACTCTTCATGAACTCTCGTTTGAGGATCTTCAAAATACTCTTAAGGCTTGGCGTGACAGCCAACAAAATTAGTCCCTCTGTCACTGAACATCATCTTCGGTGCCCCTCGGCGATTTATAAATCTACGTAATGCTAAAATGAATGAATCACTTGTTAACGTATGAACCATCTCAATATGCACGGCTCTCATTTTCAAACGGGTGGATAAACACCCATAACTTTTACATAGGGTTTTACCTCTCTTCACTACAAAAGGTCCGAACAAATCCACCCCAACGTACTCGAATGGATAATTCCCTTCAGAAACTTGCCACGCTGGGAGTGGCGTCATCATCTGCTGTGCTGAACGAGGATTCCGTGGTCTACATTCCATGCAGTTATCAATTATTTTACGGACAGCGGTACCTCCCTTCATTATCCAAAACTTATATTGAATACTTGATAGTACTCGTGAAGAACCCAAATGACCTTCAAGAACATCGTAGTGTCTTATAATGAGATCAGTGACTGCATGATAGCAGGGTAATAAGGCCGGATGACGGATCTCATATGACGATTCTAACACATGTAGACGTCCACCAACTCTAGAGATCCCTTCGGAAACTACGGGAGATAATCTATCTAACCGCACCTTGAAATCTGCGAAATAATGACTATCCTCCTTGGCAGTCTCACCCCACGCTTCCCACTGAGCAGCCCTCAAAATCGCTAAATTCGCATTTCTAATATCTTCGATTCTCAAAGGTCTCACATTCAAATTTTCGTGCCCTGCAAGATGCATGACCCTTAAGTACGTAGTATATCGTGCCAACCACGCAACAGCCTTCAGGAGCTTGTATCAAGAAGAATAATATATAAATAGTGGATGTTACCCGAATGTCTTTCTTGAGTAGATGTTAAAAGTTTTACTTGATTAGGTATGCACAGATATGGAATAAACTACCAATGGAAATGCGTCAAGCAGGCACATTGGCCTCATTCAAAAAAGTGCTTAACGACAAACTACACGAGTTTGCAAACGAGAGTAGTCCTAGTTCCTATCTGAGAGCCTCCGAAATTATAGGTCCATTTAATGTATAAGCTTAAATACTACACCTGTTGTTTTTGCCTATATTTATAATTTTAGATAAAACATTAACGATTAAGATACTTACCCTCAAACAGACCAGACGTTTCGTTTGTAAAACCTCTACCCAACGTAATAATTGGAATAAAATGGTCATAAACCGACAACATGAAAAAGATATAACTCACCACAACATCACATGGACAGATGTACGCTCGTTGGGCATCATATATGCCTCACCAACTACAACCCAACTTTCCTAAGATAATGTGGGGAACTTATATCCATAATTTTGCTGAGCAGTTATTATTCACAACTCCTGTCGGAACAACTGAAATTCAAAAACCTTCCTCACGAGAAGAAAATACCCACAAGCGGTAGAAATCCATTAATTAATACGTCTAAAGCTTATGTATTTTACTCCCAACAATGACATTGACCTGGGAAAGAGTTTAAATCTATTCTACCTGTCATACAGTAGGCAGGGAGGAGATTTAATCACAATGTCTAAAATTTTAAATAATGAATAAGGACCTGACCTATTCTCTCTTTTCCCTCCCACCAGATAAGAAAGTTTTATAGGGCATAGCAGGGGAGTTCAAAAATCAAGAAGAAATCATATTGCTGTTGAGTACTAGTTCTCACACCGAGTCATAAACTCTTGGAACCGACACCCAGAAGAAGTGGTGTCCGCAACCTCAACTAACTCATTCAAGAAGGGTTTGGACAACTACAGGAATTTACTAGAAACAGATTAACATAGGTTCCAGGCCTTCTATCCTCAACTAATAAATCTGAATCTGAAATCTGAATTCTAGAACAGGCTTCAGAGCTTTTCAACTTCAACCCAGGTACTAAATTCTCTAGATTTTATATGCTCTCCGAAAACTTTGCTAATGTCAACTTTGATCATGATCTCTTCACTAGACTGACTAGTAGAATACTGCAAGCTGCAAACTTGAATGCGAAAGACATAGATTTTATCCAGAATTCTACATATTAAGTATCCAATTGGGCCTTTAACACTAACGCCAACTAACAAATGAACTGGAAACAACAGCTTCTGCCACCCAAACATGTTCATGTGCATAATTTAAGAAACTTCTACACAGTACTATTTCATTAACAGCTGAAAAACAGCTAAAACACAGAAACGTCGCATGGATTCAACGTGTGAAACAATTACAATGAAATAAATGAACTAACTTGGTGGTTAAGGCCTTCGAAACAAACCAAATAACTAATTTTGACAGCAACGGAAACTTAAATGAGGCGAAACGCAACATTTGGGATCACTGTGCTTGAAGATAAGTTCAGTCGATAATTTCAGCCTCTGGAAGCATTGGAGGAATTCAAGGTCAGGGAGAGCGGATCAACCGTATCACAATTTATGGCGCGCAACTGGATTTTCCTATGGCTTGTGTTCCAGTAGACTTTCCGACACTGAAATTATACGCTATTGCAGTAAATATATACCTGTCTTGTATAATTTCGTCTTAGATACAAAATGCACACATTTTGGCTAGTGAGATGGATTTTGCTAACTTGCAGCTTGCATTCAAAATGACTTGCGAGTTGCAACAACGTGTTGTTGATTTAATGTCCGAACGGAAAAGACATCTTACAAATTTGGAAGCTTTGGTGAATATGAAGAGAAAAGGTAATACGTTTCTTTGGGCTGCTCAGTGATTTATTTTCAGATACACATCCAGTAGGTGTTATGGAAATGGAGGAAGAAGTTTCACAGAGTAGGGAGACAGAATTGTATGCGCAACAAAACCATTACGATGAAAATCAAAACAGTGAGGTTATGCGTAGTGGTAGGTATAAAATTTTTAGGAACGAACTTTAGATTTGTAAGACATATGTCTTTAAAACGGCAAATCATTTGGAAGGCAAGTAGCACAGGTAGACAGTATTTGCTATTTCATCAGAATAAAGAAAAATTAGTTAACTTGGTGTAATGTGTTTCGGTTACATTGACTTCTCCATCCTCAAAGTAGCCAACTGTTGACAAAGTGACTGCACGTACTAGTTTGGTGCTTCATCAACTTGAGGGATTATATTAGAATTAGAATAAGTCATGATCCTAAAATCTCTCAGCGAAGGTTGAGGATAGAGACCCAGAGAAATGAACGCCAGAATGGCATTGGAAATCTTAACCAGGCAGTGAAGTCAGTTGAATAACAGTATACTCTTAAGAGAAGTACTAAATGCAGTAAAAGCAACTGGTCTTCCTATTTCAAAGTCAGGCCAGAGTTACGTTAAGGCAGCAGTAGAATTGGGTGGGAGTAGACTACGTAATGGCTGAATTAAGGTCCCGAATTAGCAATTTTAGCAGAATTGGCAGTCTCAAGGTCATTGGTCAGTTCGTCCCCCTGAGTGCATTCTTTTACTTCCTTTTAGTATACAAATATTTTTCCAAAAGCATTTATAGTGACTGATCGTCTAACTGGCTTCTCCGTAGGGCTGTAGATCACTACCACGTCTATGCTGTTACATGTGCTGTGTAAATATTAGAATAAGTGAGGCGAGTGAAATTACATTCTTAATCTAAAGTGCTGACTACTTTCGTGTCATCTTGATATCTAATGACGATAATTTGGGATTTCATTAAGGTTTGACCGCTGTGAAGTATGCAGCACGTAGCTGGAAATGCACTAATAATGCGGACCAAGAAAAAATTTAGGGGTGATCACTTGGAAAAGATCAGAAAAAACGTCCATTTTACACAATAGTTAGTAAATACTGATTGATAGTGAGATATCTGTGGTAAGGAGGAGATACATAAACTAAATGAGCATGATAATGAAAAGATAAGGTTGATGGGGAAGGGGTACATTATAAAGCGATTTGAGTGGCTTACATCCACGGTAAATTTGCCCAGGTATGTGGGTTGTAGACGTCGGTCTTCCAAATGCAACACAGATTACAGTTGTTCATAATCTGAAACACGATAAAGCAGCAAAATTTAATGATATAGTTCCAGACGTGTTTGAGAATGGTGGTGAATTATTCACTGAGTTAATTAAGATATTTAAGAGTGTGTGAGAATCCGAGACAGTCCCGCTAGCTTGGTTATGGTGAGCCGTAAGGCCGATTGTGTTTCGCTGGTGACTAGTCCGTATAAAAGTTCGGAAAATAATAGTGAATAGGTTGGAAAATCCTCATAAAATTAGCCCACTGATGTTTGAAGAGGAGGCATTCTTTATTGGTTCACCCCTTAACACACTTAATTCTAATACTACAACGGATTGCCAACACCACTCACCTCATCCTTCACTAGGTTCTTTTGGGTAAGTTTCAAAGTCCTAGTGTGTAAAATACAGGTGTTTCTGATTGTGTTTACGTACATTTCGAGATGTGAGGCACTTTTTACTGGTGAACGATAGTAGGCTTACTCCTCATTACACCATATTACTCTGCAGGGTACTATAGGTGTCTACACATATGGATATCTATTTACTTATATCTAAGATGGAATGGAATTTCATGAATTAAGGTTGTATCCAAATTTGTTTATCTGCATGAATTCTGCTTATATAAACGGAAAACAATGGTTTCTTTGCTTCAGTTCAGATGGAAGAATTTGAAGTTTGTTTTTCGTTTTGTGTATCACTGTGTTAGTGTGTGAACTCATCCTGATATTTTGTTAGACAGACACTAAAAAGTGTTGATGTGAAACAACTTTTCCGGATGGATAACTTATGCGGAAGATCAACTTAATCCGAACTTCGTTTTTCTAAATAGTTTCGTATGGCTATTGTTATATTATTGTTGTTTCCTTTTAGTTCCTAGAGGAACATAGGGCTTCAGGCAAACGTCTCTATTGCGCTCGGTTCTCCGCCGACGTTTCCACCTAGCTCCACATCTACCCACATGCTCTCATCTCCTCTTCACTTGGCCTCCTCCATGTCACCATCGCACTGACGACCAACTCGCCGCTTCCCATTCGAGTTCCACTCGAGTGATGGCCTGATGTGTGATGTCGCTTGATGGTTTGTTTTCTCAGAGTATGACCAGCCAATCCACCTCCATTTCTTCTTGCATATTTGTTGCGCAATTGGTTCCTGCTGGGTTGTTTCGTTGCCAGAGAGAGAGATCCTTGTTGCTAATATTTTCTGGCCGGCCCTCTGATCTTGAGCGAAGATAGGTGTTGATGGTGTGTAGTTTGCTTGAAGTTCCCCTTGTGACGCGGCGCGGCACCAAGTCTCTGATTCGCATAGTGAGTAGCACTGACTGCACATTGGCGTTGAAAATCCGGATGTTACTTTTCATGCTGAGTGCTGTTGACCTCCACACAGACTTGAGAGTAACGAAAGCTTGCCTTGCTTTCTCGATGTTTTGATACCCCCATCAGTTCCGTCTGCCTGTAGTTGAAACGACGATGCGTCCCAGGTAGTTAGGTAGGCAGTTAGGTAAGGGCTGTGTTTCTTTCAGATTCCTCCCATATATGCTGGCTGATTGTTGTTGTCGCTGTTGGCCAGGAATCTTCGTCACCTCTGTTCTCTCTGCTCATCTGAAGTAGGTCCTATCTTTGATGTTTCTTCTGCGAACTTGTTGCTTTTCATTTGCGTATCCTCCAGTTTGTGGGAAATCAGACATATAGATGTCATCGGCGAAATCCGGATCCTCCAAGATTTTTGTGTGGGTCAATTTTGTGCCTGTCTCCTCGTTTTCCGTCGTCTGTCATATTATCTAGTCTACCGCAATCAGGAAAATCACTGGAGGCTCACTGTCTTACTCCTGTTTTCATTTCGAAGTGTTCCGTGAGTTTCCCGTTGTGGATTACTTGGCATTCAGCATTATGGCTATTATCAAAAATAATAACTTTCTCTGGCGGATCCTTGCCAGAGAACAATTATTCTTTCTCCATGAGTGCCTTCATCATCAAATCCTACCGACCAGTGTATAATAACTTTCATCTCTTGTCTGCATTTCTAGAATTTAGAAGTGCAGAATAGCTTCATCCTTTTTGCTATGATTATATAATATCCTTGCGACGGTGGCACTATTGAAGTCTAAATAGCGTATTGTCGTAACTTATTATTTTTTAATAGTTTCTATAGAAATTTATCATTTCTGCAGGACAACTTTCTTCTGCGGCATCTTGTCACACCATAAAACTACGTGCCTTATTTTCTTCTATGGTCACACGAATTTCCTCATGAAGACTAGTGCCTGACTGATCCAATGAATGTTTTTAGTTTCAGTTGCAGAAATACTTTGGCATTGTGGTTTAGTAATTCCTGATAAACAGAATTCGCTATCAGGCTAGAGATGCACACATTTGTTTTAGACCTGGTGACTTGCAGTCGGTAAGCGTGACATTACATAGTTAAAACTTGACGGAAGCGTGAATTAGATGCGGACTTGTTGATGTGAAGAAATTTTAACTTAACTGAATTTAATTTTATATTTATCACATTTTGTTTTAGAAAATATTGAAAACGGGGAGGCAATGAATGACAATCAGCATTTGTGTGAACTGTCAAACCAGGAAGCCAATAATACAGAACCTCCTACTCCTACCAGTCAAACGAGTAGTATGCGTGAAACGCTTACACCAAGTACTTCCACTTCAGAGGAAGCATGCAAATCATTAAATAATAAACACAAATTAATATCTATAGAATCTCTTCGTGAAGTTATGCTTCTTGATGGTGTTCCTATTCATGTCGACAATGACAACACGGATTGTATTACCTGTAGACTAAGAAATCACGTGCAAACTGAAACGATAGTTACCATGGTTTGTGCAGCGTGCTCAGAATTCCCTCGGCTTTGTTCAGCACAATGTTTTCGTTGGTGGCACATGGTTCATTTACCGGCAATGCGTAATAAACCAAGAACAGTAATCGAATCCGAACAAAGTGGTACAACAATAAGCGAATCAAATAACCAAGTTGTCGTTTCAGAATTACAGGCAGTTGACGGATCAAGTGAATTCAAACCACCTGAGAAGAAATTAGTCCTCCAACCTTCCACAGCGCCTGTACGTCGGCGAGTCGGAAAAAGAAAACGACGTAAAGGATTCCGATTATGTCATGTGAAAAAGAAAGTAATATCAGTCTGGCCCGTAAGTAAATCGTGTCGTCCGCCGAAAAAACCCCATGCTAATTCTGATGATCCACAATGGAGACCTAATAGGGGATTTATTGAAAAAGTGAACATAAACAATTAACAATTATTTCTTTATAAACAATATACAAAAGTGATTCAACTGAGCATATAATTTTTTTTTGCATTTTTTCCCCCCAATTAGATCAGGGTTTAAATATCACAATTATCACGGGCTTGTGGTGTTGGTTGTTCTTGGAAAAAATTTTCATTCACAATATACCGTATACACTGCATAAGTTGATTACGTTCTTTGCGAATATCTTCTGCCAACAACTGAAATAATTTGCAACAATATATAGAAAGAAAAAAAAATTGAATCACACAATAATTTAATTACAAAGTTAATTTTAACAACATAACAGGCAGTTAGAAATCTTGAGTATTTTAGACAGCATACAAGTTTACTTAGTAAAAACCTTTAAAAAAGTCCCCACCTACTAAAGCCGATATTTTTGTTGATTGTCATAATATCGGAAATGAATAAATAAGACCTTCCATATAAGAAAACACTGAATTACGATGATTGATTTTAATATGATGAGATACTAATATTAGATTAGTTGTGCAAATAAGCTGACTAGATTGCGAACCCGACTTTTATTCAGTTGACCATGGGTTTGGAGTGTCCCGCCCCCTGAGCACGCCTGCTGCTACCTAGATATTGCAGTCAGGTGATATTGTGGCTTGTCAAAAGTCTAATACGGGCTCATTACTAAGTAGATTAACATGCATTTTGATTGGAAACTAGTGTGATATGTCTAGTCCTATTTTTGGTACAGAATGAATTCTATCAGTCAGGTTTGTAATGTGGCCAGCATTCTAGGTAACTCGCCGTCACAGTGTACATTGATTTGATGATATTAGATAGTTGGAGGGAATCGGTCACAGGAAGTCATGGGCCTAGGTTTCGTTCCATTTGATACTTGTCATCAAAGGCGTATCTACAAACCTGGAGTAACTTATGTCCCTTCTGAAGTTCTAACTAGCGTCACCCAGTGCCGCCTGCAGTCAGAAACGTTACCACTGGGCTATTCAGGCTCGCGACTGACCTTCTGTAGGACTGTATCGGATACTTTGATTGGACACTAGTTAGTGGCTTGTGTAATTTGTTCAGTCTTTTCTTTGGTGCAGACTGAATTTTATCGCCAGTCAAGTTTCTAATGTGGCCACCATTCTAGTTGGCTCGCCATCACGTTACACCGTGCATTGTTAATAATAGATGGTTGGAGCTAATCGGCCACAGAAAGCCCTACCTAACTTAGGTCTCGTGCTAGTTGGCACTCACCAGTCAGTCAGCAAGGCGTATCTGCAATCACCTTGAAGGACCTTATGTCCCTTCTGGGAATCGAACCCGTGTGTCACCCAGTGGTGTATTTATTGTGGATTTTAAAAGAATCTCTTTTATGAAAGATACAGGAATGACATCCTCGATATTTCGTCTAATAGGTTCTTCTACTGTTTCCAGAAGTGGTACATTAATTAGTGAATAAGGTAGATATGTCAAACGGTGGCGTGAATTTATTCTTAACATTTCAATCTTTCAACAGATACAAAGGTGTCTTTTACGCTGTGTTTCACCAACTCAGTATGCAAAGGCTTCAAAAGTTTAACCAACCGTTTGGCTATAGGGTGGTGGTGATGTATGTATACATAATTGTAGAGCCGGAAAAAGAATGGTCTTGGCTTTGTTCAAGGTTGCAGATGCGCCTTGCTGATTGACTGGTGAGTGCCAACTAACACGGAACCCAGGTCAGGTAGGGCTTCCTATGGCCGATTGCTTTCAACTATCTATTGTCAACAGTTCACAGTACATGGTGATGGTAAGCCAACTAAAAATAGCGACCACATTGGAAACTTGACTGACGATAGAATTCAATCTGCACCAAAGAAAGAACTAGACTAGACAAATCAAAGCAGTACATACTTTGACTAGTAAAATTTAAATGCGGGGTTAACTAGTGAATTGGAAAAGGCGCGTTACATGTCATTCACAAATATAACAGGGATCACTAAACTACCAATACGTATCATCTTTATTTTAGTGCTATGTGATATCTTCATATCCCTCCTACCAACTCGAACATTCATTAATCTTTATTATTCATTATATTACTAAGAACGAAAAATGCGGTTATATCTGAAGGTCAATTATTCAGAATCCGGAGTCTAATCCATAAGGCACCTGAGCAATGTCAGCAGCTGCGTTCACATGCTTATCAGTCAGTAAAGCTAGTTTGGTTTAAAACTAACTTTCTTCTTAGTTTCGCGTTCACAAATATTACTGAAGTGTTGGTGATTTCCAGGCTTCTTACTGGTTCAAGGATTTCATCATCAGCTAACGCCGGTTAACGAAGCATCGAAAAACCTGAGAGTACTGGACAGCCGTTTTGTCCTAGTTTGGAACTCTTCAGCTTAATGGTCTACGGACTCGCCATGTGACCGGAGCACTCCTGGGTTTGAACTTCGGTGGATGCGTACTAAAAATAGTCCCAAACTAGGACGAAACAGCCATCCAGTACTCCCAGGTTTTCCAATGGTTCTCTAACTGATGTCAGCTTATAATGAAATCCTGAAACAAATAGTATTATTATTATTCTGTGGCCGAACTTTATCACAGCGTTATGCTGACTCTCCACAGCGCTTCTGGTCGTGTTTTAGGGGTAGAAAATTTGATTTTAATCTTGTGAAAACCTTTACGCCATAAGAAGGTTGGACAGTTTACTTCACTGCAAACAAGTATTGGCAAACGTCTGTATGAAATAATTTTAAAAAGAATAGAGAAAACTGTTTAATGGCAAGTAGAACTAGCACATTGTAGAGATTTGAAATAGGACAATTATAAGGACGGTTGCAGAGAAGAAAATTTTCTTGTCCATGAAGTCTTCAACTAGATGATAGCTGTACATACGTGTATTTATAACAAATAGGTGGGAAAGTTCCAGAATAATTACAATTAGGAATTAGAAATGCCATAATAAACACACGGAGGAACGGAACGGATAAAACTCAAACAAATTAGCATCATAGTTACTGAGAAGATTGACATATATTGTACAATTAGGGGTTAGTCTGTCTGTCTGGATTCGACATAGAACTTGGCACCGAAGTGCAGCAGTTCGAGTTGCCACGATTAGGGGTTAGAAATAACAAAAATAGACAGAATGTTTGGATAAAAAACCTAGTGGGATCATAACTATAGTGTGACGATTAATTGTATCTGCAATAAGGGATTTAACATGTAGAAATGATAAAATGGCAAAATAAACAGGAATTTCGGATATGAAAATATGGTAGTGTTAATAGGGATTAAGAAAAACTTAAAATAACATGAATAAACAGGAAGTTTGGATAACAAAGGCAATGGGATAGTCACTACTAAGAGAACCATCTGTTTTTGATGGCCATGGCAGGGACAAGGGTTGGACATATTTCTTTTAGATACGTAGTGTGGGTTTGAGCTTCTCGATGGCTAGTGCCTCGGCTATGCCTAAATGTCATAATTTTGCTCCCTTTGATAGGTTTGATTGAATCTTGTGTATGATTTTGAAGGAATTTTCGAATGGCACTGAATGTCCTGAATTGACTAGATGTCCTGTCACTGAACTATATACGCGTTTTCGTTCTCCTTTTACCTGCCAGGCTGGATAGTGTTCACGAGCGCGTTTTCCAAGTTGGCGCATGGTACGGCCGATGTACTCTGCTCCGCAAGAGCAAGTAAACTGGTATATGCACGTTGAAGTGGCTTTTTTGATTCAATTAAGAATGTCAACGCGGCAGATAAGATAATGGTCTGCTTGGATATCGTCTCTCTCTTCTCCAACGTTCCATTGACAGAAAGCGTATGTTTCCTTTGTGACTACATTCAATCCAATATCATCGATGTTGGTATACCGATCGATTACCTGAAAGAACTATTACTACGATGCCTCCAAAGCCTCAGGATGGTCGCGGGTGGGTGCCTTGCGCTGCGGGTTGGCCACCCCTCCGCACACCTCTTGAAATGCTCCCATATGACCGGGCGTCTTACATAGCCTCTCCTGAGGAAGTCCTACTCACTGCCTTCACGTGGCGGAGGTGTTTCTCACCAAAGTGAGAGGGCAAAGGCGGATGCCCGGCGCTCTCCACCGGGTTGACTGTCCATTGGATGACAGTCTAGGGGAGATGGCTAAACCCTGATTCCAAACCTCCAACGACTGGCGTATGAAGCTCACCGGCAGACGTATGGACAAAGGGCTTGTTGGATGTCCTGGATGTCTGGCCCCATTCAAAAAGGCGTATGAACCGAACTCCGGTCACCGGCTGCCAATGGAGAGTGGACTCTCTACTCCACTCCTACTGCCTTGTAGGTCACACTTGGCTGTGTAAAGGCTAGAGCTGCACTCTTAAACAAAAGGCCGAGCGACGCTGGGGACATCACTCGTACCAAATTCCCATGAAACTTCATGAACTCTCTTACAAACAACTCTCACCATGCTACGGCGGATGGTTCTTTTAATAGTGACTATCCCATTGCCTTTGTTATCCAAACTTCCTGTTTATTCATGTTATTTTAAGTTTTTCTTAATCCCTATTAACACTACCATATTTTCATATCCGAAATTCCTGTTTATTTTGCCATTTTATCATTTCTACATGTTAAATCCCTTATTGCAGATACAATTAATCGTCACACTATAGTTATGATCCCACTAGGTTTTTTATCCAAACATTCTGTCTATTTTTGTTATTTCTAACCCCTAATCGTGGCAACTCGAACTGCTGCACTTCGGTGCCAAGTTCTATGTCGAATCCAGACAGACAGACTAACCCCTAATTGTACAATATATGTCAATCTTCTCAGTAACTATGATGCTAATTTGTTTGAGTTTTATCCGTTCCGTTCCTCCGTGTGTTTATTATGGCATTTCTAATTCCTAATTGTAATTATTCTGGAACTTTCCCACCTATTTGTTATAAATACACGTATGTACAGCTATCATCTAGTTGAAGACTTCATGGACAAGAAAATTTTCTTCTCTGCAACCGTCATTTTAATAATTCTTATGATACATTGGTGTATATATTGCGTAATAAGATATTCATATTTGGACTAATTACAGAAAATGTCGTTATTACCGGAATGAAATGATTATTGTTGGCTTTCGGTTCTAGAAGGTCACAAAAACCACATAAAACACAAGACTCGATCGGAACAGTCTGGATTCAGGAGAAACAAGTCCTGTATCGATCAAATCGCCACACTACGGATCATCACTGAACAGAGTCTGGAATGGTAGTCACCTCTCTATCTCAACTTCATCAATTTTGAAAAGGCCTTCAGCAGACAGCATCGATCGACAAGTGATTTGGCAACTACTTCGCTACTACGGGGTGCCACCGACAATTATACATCTCATCTAACAGTTGTACGACAACTTATGGAAGCCTTCGAAGTGAGAACGGGAGTAAGGCAAGACTGCCTACTATCGCCAATGACTTTCCTGATTGCAGTAGATTGGATAATGCGACAAACAGCAGGCGATGAGGAAACAAGCATAAAATGGACTCACACAAAAAACTTGGAGGATCTGGACTTCGCCCATGATGATATATGTCTGATTTCCCATAAACTGGAAGATATGCAAGTGAAAAGCAGCAAGTTGGTAGAAGAAGCATTCAGAGAAGATAACACTTCCTTCAAGTGAACGAACATAGAGAAAACAGAAGTGATGAAGATTCCTGGCCAACACCAACAACAACAATCAGCCAGCATAAATGGGAGGAACCCGAAAGAAACAACCTCCTTTACCTACCTACCTGGGAAGCATCGTTTCAAATACAGATGAAACTGACGAGGATATCGAAGCAAGAATCGGAAAAGCAAGATAAGGTTTCATTACTCTCAAGTCTGTGTGGAGGTCAACATCACTCAGCATCATGAAAAACAAGATCCGGATTTTCAACTCCATTATGAAGTCAGTCAGTGCTACTCACTATACGGATCAGAGACTTGGCCAGCGCGTCATAAAGAGCATCTCCAACAAACATCAGACCTTCATTAACAGTTGTCTTCGCTCAATACTGAAGAACAGATGGCCGGCCAGAAAATATCAGCAACAAGGTGGGATCTCTGGCAATCAGCGAACCAACACAGCAGGAACCGATTGAGAAACAAATAAGCGGGAAGAAATGGAGATGGATTGGCTGGCCATACTCTGAGGAAACCATCAAGTGACATCACTAGAGAAGCCATCGCTCGAGTGGAACCCGAAAGGGAAGCGGCGAGTTGGTCGTCAGTGAGAGGGTGGGGTGACTTGGAGGAGGTCAGGTGAAGAGGAGATGAAAGCATGTGGGCAGACTTGGAGTAGAGTGAAAAAGTTGGCAGAAAACAGAAGGCGATGGAGACGCGCAGCTGAAGCCCTATGTTCCTCTAGGAATTAAAGGAAATAATAATAATAAAACACAAGACATGTACACTCACCATTTGAAGCAGTGTAGGTCGACTGTGTATACTATGGATACTACTTAGGCATTGTCGTCGTTTTGTTTGCAGTTTCACTAATGGATGCGATGCGAAAGGATCATTTTTAGAATCAGTATTCACTTCTTCTTCTTCTCCTTTATTGCTTGTACATGTTTTAACATCCATGGTATTTTTATTTCTTTGTCGTCTTCCTCGCTTACGACGTCGACTAGCCAGCTTATCATTTGACTTGAATAACAAAATAGATGAAAAAGAAATTATTTTGAAAAAAAACTTTGAAAGTTAACGACATAGTTAATTTCATTATTTAAAAACTCCATATATCTTACAAAAAATGGTGGTTTATGAATATACTACTTATTACCGTTATAAGCGTTTGGCTAACTGATATACCTTACAGGGACATTCAGCCTTCATAAACTTAACTGCGTATGATACTTCGATGCAGAAAATTAGCGGTTAGTAAACATGTCTATTTTAGTATTAAGATGGTTAGAGCACCACTTAGTGTGCAGATGAGATATTCAATTATTGTTGAGTGGTACTGTGAATCAATTGGGCCTTGTTGTACTGCATACATCTATAATATCGGAGAGTGTGGAAGGTTTACAAGTTTGGAAGTCTTCATCTTCTTAGCATCATTTCCAATGTACGGTGGTAGTACCACAACCTATTAATACATGTGTAAAACTTGGGCACTGTGGCGGTAAGTAATTCCATATTAGTTTGTTTATTAGATGTATCACACAGCCTATGAAACAGTATTATTTACGGGATGACGTTTCGAACAAATTTTTTTTTGGTTCATAATCATCTCATCAATTATAATCACACGACTTCGACACTCGCGTTTTATAGTTTTCTTTGTCCTCTCTTATTTGTCCTCTTTGGGGTAGTAGAATTTTCCAGATGTCTGGGCGGACAGGTGTTGAATCATTCCTACTACAGGTATTTTCATTCAGTTGATTCGATAAACAAAGATTCCATTATCAATCTCTCCCTACACCCTGCCACAACATTAGATTTTAAAACTGTCATCCTATCCTATGCTATTCTATGGTTGTGAGTAACTGCATGTAGCGAGTGGTGTAGCTGAACTATTCTCTAGATTTCTTATCTTATTCGGGTCAACCAATCTAGATTTTGCTAGGTTTTCATGCTCGGCTAGTCTGACTGCCCCTGTTCTACTACTTTGACCTATGTATTTGACCTGACAATCATTCCAGCAGGCTATTAAATAAACTAAATTGATTTGTTTTAAAGGTTCCACAGGATTGATCCTTTAACCGACAAAGGTTGTTTCTAATTGAGTTTGTGGGTTTGAATGCCAGCCACTTTTATTCCTTCATGGATTGTTAAGAATTCTGCATAAGGTCTCCAAGGTTCCTTCCTTGTATGGAAGTACTACTGATGATTTAGATTCCTTATTGTTGGTATCGTCATTAATATTATTATTATTATCACTATCGCCACTATCATTATTTACTTTATTTTTACATTTCCTTACATATTTCTTGACTAATTTATACGGGTAATGATTAAGTTTCAAGGCTTCTTTTATGTGTATCACTTCCTGTCTTAGATTTTCCTTGGTACTACTTAGCCTTTGTGCCCTGTCACTTGAACATTTCACCAATCCTATTTTTACTGACATAGGATGGGATGATCGGAAGTCCGAATATCTGTTTGAATGTATGGGTGTCCTGTAAACAATAGTGTTTAACTTCCCATCTTCTTTCCTTCTTACGCCACAATGTAACATTGGAAGTTCCCCATCCTGACTTTCCAATTCATAAGTGAATTGAATTGCCTCCACCTTCGAGTTGATGTGTTCCAAAAATCTATCTATATATTGTGTTCTAAGTACAGTGAATGTGTCATCTACATACCTCCATCATACTTTTCGGGTGGAGGTGAACTTTTCAATCGCTATGCTTTCCCACCTATCCATGAATATATTTGCCACAATGGGGGATATTGATGACCCCATCACAACTCGTTCAGTTTGTTTGTATATTTTTCCTTGGAATTTAAGTACTGTGGAAGTCAGGGATAGTTGCACTCCCAGTATTATGTGCTCAAGTGCCACTTGTTTCCTAAGTTCGTGTTCTTGGTCAGAAATAAGTTCGCTTCTGACTGCCTCTATAGCCATATTTATTGGTATACGTGCATATAAACCAACAATGTCAAAGCTAACTAACAGAGCAAGCATTCACAAAGCTACGTGTCAAACGCCTCATTACATGATTACCGGAAGAGAACTCCGGCTGCCAGTCGATCGAACTTCAAACACTCTAGGTGATGATGCATTGATAGCATCAGGATACGTAATCAGACTGAGACAAAACCTGAACAAGGTACACCAAATTACCAGACAAGTCAAAGGTACCAGAAAGAATACTATGATAGGTAAGCACATGGATCACCTGTGGAGCCAGGAGACAAGGTAATGTTACTAGAGGAGGCACTACTTAAAGGGAAGGCTCTTAAACCCCATAAATGTTGGGAAGGACCATTTACAGTAGTGGATGTATTTAGTGAATGCACTTGTAGGACCAAAGAAATTAATTCCGCTAACAGACTGCTGATACATTTCTTTATACTAAAATCATTTCGGCAACAAATCTCAATTCAGACAAGTCCTGCAGACACAGTCACGTAGCACTATGGGATAGTGCTCTTATAGGAGAGCGGTTAGTATATACGGTATGGTAAGTCAGGCGGTTTTCTTATGTTTAAACTATATGCTTGTCTGATTTCAGGTCGTCTACATGGCGTGCATAGATTGGTCTCCCAAGACGACCCGACGGACGACTAATAGAAAGATTCTTCTCCTCTCACCCAACTGTAACATAATTGGTTGTAAATACAATTGTTGACTTTGAGTCCTTGTTGTTACTAGCACGCGCCACTTATGTGATCAGCTTGCTAACGGACGTCTTACTGTTTGTTTTGTTAGATCATTGCTTAACGATTGGCACTACATAAATGCCAGGTTTCTGTTGAAAATGTCTCGTCATAGAACTGGTTAACTTTATTGGCACTTCACGGTAAAGCTTAGTCCTAACATAGAGTGATAGAACGCTCATGAACAAGTATCCAAGGTTCAAAGATGTATCACAGAAAAAGTTAGTCACCCACCACCAATCATAAAGGAGGCCAAAGACACAATTCAATGATATTAAATATACGCCCTGTAGTAAATCAATTGAAATGCAGCTTACCTTCTGTACTGATTCTGTGATTGTTTCTTTGGCATCAGATACAGTTGTATCTTTTACAGGTGAATTTGCACTATCTGTATTCTCACTATCATAATCCATAGGAACTAAGCGTATAATATCACATTCTTGGCTAGCATTATCCGCTGTTGATAAATCATCCACTGTATGTGATTCTGTGGGCTTAGCATTATCCTTACCAGCTGAAGTCGGAGTCTATGGAATATAAAAAACAATACTGTGAATAATGAAATGTTAGAGGAACAACTGTTCAGTATGTGAAAATTGATATGTATCCACATATATATATTTATGTGTGTGCGTGCATGTTGGTCTCTCTTTCTGTTTGCTCGGTTAGTCTGTGACCACTTCACTTGTATGAACTTGTCTCCTTTAATAATGTGTATTCTCCTTATATTATGTTATATATAATATGAGTGTTTGTTGACAGTCCGTTGCTTGGTGACATATATCCATATATGTTTGTTGGCATGTCTGCTATATTCGCTATGTATAATTGGATCGACACTCCATTATAATTAGCCATTCATGTTAAGACTGTCTAATGATTTTTCCCACGCTTGTCTGAATTATTTATATATATTCGCATTCGCAATTTGTGTGAACTACTTTACTTTACAACTACTTGACTTGCTTACCATTTTGGTGGGAGACCATTTATTTTCGTCTCCTTGTGTTTGGACAATAAAAGTATCATCGCAAACCTAGTGGTCTTCTGATTTCCGCCTTCTCGCGTCAGGACTATTAGTTTCTCGACCAGTCCATAACAATAATTCAGCGACGAGTACATAACAAAAATACAAAAATGAAAAAATTTCATCATGATTTGACAGCAGTTAGAAAACCATTGGAAAACCATCTGGGGCTACTGGACAGCTGCTTCACCCTAGTTTGGGACTCTTCAGAAGTACGCACCCACTGGGGCTCAAACTCAGGACCTTCTAGTTACAAGGCGTGCTCGTAGACTATTGAGCCATTGGGACCTGATCCAATGGCCCATGAATTCTAAGACATTGTGAAATGGTCGCGCTATGTCGTGAATTGGCAGATGTTAGAATTCATGAACTGGCCATTGGATTGGGTCCCAGTGGCTCAATGGTCCAAAGGCTCGCCTTGTAACTAGAAGGTCCTGGTTTCGAACCCTGATGGGTGCGTAGTGCTGTCTAGTGCTCCCAGGTTTTCCAGTGCTTCTCTGACTGATCTCAGTTCATGATGAAATCCTCCATGCAATCAAACAAAATCACTACAAAACCAATACTTGAAAAAAAGGAAACACAACGATAACTATTACAGTATGAATTTGACAAATTTCATTTCAGACTAAGGAAAAAACAGTTAATTTAGTTTCAATAAGTAGTGAGTATTTCTTGAAAATACATTTTCGTTCCCAGTGGAACATGTTGTGGCGATTGCTACCCATAGGATTTGTCAGTAGTATGTTAAGAGACATTCATCGCCATATAAAACAATAAACAGTAGGGGGATACATTTGGTTTCAGAGAAGGCAAATGATAGAGCATTGTGGAGACACATATTATACGTGGAAAGAACAAAAAGAAACACTACTTAAGATGAACATAGAGAAAACAGAGGTGACGAAGATTCATGGCCAACAGCAACAGCGACAACAACAACAGACAACAATCAGCCAGCATATATGGGAGGAATCTGAAAGAAGCACAGCCTTTACCTAACTGCCTACCTAACTACCTGGGACGCATCGTCGTTTCAACTACAGGCGGACGGAACTGATGGGGATATCAAAACAACGAGGATCATCGAGAAAGCAAGGCAAGCTTTCGTTACTCTCAAGTCTGTGTGGAGATCAACAGCACTCAGCATGAAAAGTAACATCCGGATTTTCAACGCCAATGTGCAGTCAGTGCTACGCACTATGCGAATCAGAGACTTGGTGCCGCGCCGCGCCATATCACAAGGGGAACTTTAAACAAACTACACACCTTCATTAACACCTGTCTTCGCTCAATACTTCTATCGCACAAGATCAGATGGCTGGCCAGAAAAGATCACCAACAGGGTGGGATCTCTGAGAGCGAATCAACCCAGCAGGAACCAACTGTGCAACAAATATGCAAGAAGAAATGGAGGTGGATTGGCTGGTCATACTCTGAGAAAACAAACCATCAAGCGACATCACACATCAGGCCATCACTCGAGTGGAACTCGAATGGGAAGCGGCGAGTTGGTCGTCAGTGCGATGGTGACATGGAGGAGGCCAAGTGAAGAGGAGATGAGAGCATGTGGGTAGATGTGGAGCTAGGTGGAAACGTCGGCGGAGAACCGAGCGCAATAGAGACGTTTGCCTGAAGCCCTGTGTTCCTCTAGGAGCTAAAGGTGATAATAATGATATAATAATTATTCAAACACATTTTTGTTTGATTGTTGAGTAAAAATTCAAATATGAGAAGAATGTCATCTCACTCATATTTCACGAGGATAAAAGCCAACAAAGAATTGTCAGCCTTTGAATTCATTATTGTTATGCTCTTATGACGCTGAAATACCCTTACTGGTCCTAGTGTATTTCTGATATATGGTCATGTTATTAACGAAAGATCAGTTGTTAGTAAGCTACAGTACAATAGAAAGACGACCACCATTTGTTTCAAGTTGGTATCCAATATGTCTACATACTTCCTTCACTAGGTGCAGTACCGACCGAAAATTACGTTGAAATTCAGTGATCAGTGTGTCTATTTCCCATTAAAGGCTAAAAACCCGCGAAACTGACAAGACGATGCATATAATCAAGGCACTCTACTCGAACTCATGCAACCAACGACGTGAGGGATTACGCCGAGTTGTCATCTGAAGTGGTGACGACTGGCAGTGTCCGTCAGGGATGCCCATTATCCCAATTTCTATTCAGTTTCATCATAGATGTACTGATGGACTTAACCCTAACTCACTTCAGAGACTCAGGGAATGACTTGCTACCAGGGGATAATCTCGTTGACTTAGAATAGGCAGACAATATAGTCCTTCTAGGCGAGGACGCTGACAATATAGAGCAGAGTCTTTTGAACACCTTGACTTGCAATCTACGAATGTTTGGCATGCGACTCGATCCCGCCACATGCAAGATGATGTTACAGAACTGGACAACACTGACTCCTAGTTTAGAAATAGGGAGTGAGGAGGCAGAGTGTGTTGGCCGCTTCACTTATCATTTAGGAAGTTGCATCAGCCCCAACGGGTTGATCTCTAACGAAATCTCAGCACGGATAAAGAGTGCTAGTTTCGCATATGCCAGTTTACGCCGTCTCTGGCTTGGTAGACGTGATATCCGGTTGGCTATCGACCAAACGGCGGGTGTACTGCCCATCAGTCTGCTCCGTCCTCCTTTATAGCCGTCATTGAGAGTGGAAGACACGAAAAGATTAGCTGTCTTTGATCATAGGTGCCTGCGCTGTGTCTCCCATGTGAAGTGGTATAATAAGGTGAGCAATATTGAGGTTAGGCGTCGAGTGTTAGGTAAGTATTGAGGGGAAATCAATCGACGAGGCCGTAAAATTACATCGACTGAGATGGTTAAGACATGTGTTCCGCATGAATGCCTAGTTATCACCTTCCTCGACGGGAAATGTTAACTGACATAGGGGTCAGGCTGGAAAAGAGCCAGCTAGCGACGGTCAAACCAAAATATAGCTTCACCAGTCATTGAAATCCACAACAGTTAGTTTAAGCCAGCCAGTCACGTAGGAAGGTGTAGACTTCCTGGCTGGTTAGGGTCCTCGGGACGGTAAAAACCACTGGTTGGAAACAATTGGTGATATGGCTCAAAATCGTTCTCAATGCATAGCACAGATGCATCCACTCCTTGTGACTTATGATTTCCAATGAAACTCTATTGTTCTACGTTACTCCTATTTCTTTGTCTCACACCTCTGCTTACTGTCTCTATTATGCTTTTCTTGTACTTTCTTCTCTTGCTTCGTGTGCTACATGGAGTGTGGCGGGTGTACTGCTCATCAGTCCGCTCCGTCCTCCTTTATAGCCGTCATTGAGAGTGGAAGACACGAAAAGATTAGCTGTCTTTGATCATAGGTGCCTGCGCTGTGTCTCCCATGTGAAGTGGTATAATAAGGTGAGCAATATTGAGGTTAGGCGTCGAGTGTTAGGTAAGTATTGAGGGGAAATCAATCGACGAGGCCGTAAAATTACATCGACTGAGATGGTTAAGACATGTGTTCCGCATGAATGCCTAGTTATCACCTTCCTCGACGGGAAATGTTAACTGACATAGGGGTCAGGCTGGAAAAGAGCCAGCTAGCGACGGTCAAACCAAAATATAGCTTCACCAGTCATTGAAATCCACAACAGTTAGTTTAAGCCAGCCAGTCACGTAGGAAGGTGTAGACTTCCTGGCTGGTTAGGGTCCTCGGGACGGTAAAAACCACTGGTTGGAAACAATTGGTGATATGGCTCAAAATCGTTCTCAATGCATAGCACAGATGCATCCACTCCTTGTGACTTATGATTTCCAATGAAACTCTATTGTTCTACGTTACTCCTATTTCTTTGTCTCACACCTCTGCTTACTGTCTCTATTATGCTTTTCTTGTACTTTCTTCTCTTGCTTTGTGTGCTACATGGAGTGTGGCGGGTGTACTGCTCATCAGTCCGCTCCGTCCTCCTTTATAGCCGTCATTGAGAGTGGAAGACACGAAAAGATTAGCTGTCTTTGATCATAGGTGCCTGCGCTGTGTCTCCCATGTGAAGTGGTATAATAAGGTGAGCAATATTGAGGTTAGGCGTCGAGTGTTAGGTAAGTATTGAGGGGAAATCAATCGACGAGGCCGTAAAATTACATCGACTGAGATGGTTAAGACATGTGTTCCGCATGAATGCCTAGTTATCACCTTCCTCGACGGGAAATGTTAACTGACATAGGGGTCAGGCTGGAAAAGAGCCAGCTAGCGACGGTCAAACCAAAATATAGCTTCACCAGTCATTGAAATCCACAACAGTTAGTTTAAGCCAGCCAGTCACGTAGGAAGGTGTAGACTTCCTGGCTGGTTAGGGTCCTCGGGACGGTAAAAACCACTGGTTGGAAACAATTGGTGATATGGCTCAAAATCGTTCTCAATGCATAGCACAGATGCATCCACTCCTTGTGACTTATGATTTCCAATGAAACTCTATTGTTCTACGTTACTCCTATTTCTTTGTCT